ATGAGTTGTGTTATTGTATTAAAGAAATGTGTGTTTATCAAATTTTAAATTATAGCAGACTTTAGAAAAGATACAACCCTTCCTCTTGCCTACCATCTCAGTGGCATTTCACTTACATCTAATACAAGACCCCCATACATTTGAAATTCTCCCTTCAGGAAGTGAGCTTAATTAGCTGGTGGGCTTAAGGGACCTGGCTATGGTGCACGGTGGGGTTCAGGCAAGTCGAATCTGAGCTGAGCTCCGGAGTCCTGCAGTCAGTGTGCTGGACTAATTTATACTCAAGGGTAAAAATTAAGTCTAGTTCTTGGTAGCTGGCCAGACTGCTGCACAGGGTTAAAGCTGGGGATACAGATTGCAAAGCTGAAGTATGCTTAATATGTTCTTCCCTTTCATGCTGTGTGGTATGGAAATTGTTTCCGGGGCCTCTCACTGGCACATTTGTCTCAACTGCACTTATCATGTGACTTTTCAGCAAAAGGTACATTCATGAAAACAAGTATAAGTGACTATTGAGTTGGGAGTCCAAATTAATAGAAGCCTTACTTCTCCCCTAAGTTACAGGTTTCAATACTATTCTGTTATCCCATTTCTCTGTAAGGCCCATCTTTAACCAAAATTGCTAGTAATTAGTTTTCACTATAACTTAACAGTACCTCAGATCCCATGAAAACAAACTGCATCTCAAAGTAACCAAGCATCTATCCTGAGAGAAGGGTGGAAGAATTTTCTTTTCTCAAGCTTCTTTGAACCTTTCTTGTGTCTGGGTTTTTGGCATCCAACATCTTCTATAGATGTTTCTTCCTCTCTTCATTTACACTTGAGTTATAGGAAAGCCCTGTGCGATGTCTTTGCTGGAAAGTTCTATGGATGCACAAAGAACCTCACTGAAGCCAGGCTTTATAGATGTGAATTGCAAGGACACAGAGTCACATGCAGCAGCATGATGTCATGATATCCCATCATGCAGGGATGCTATGACATTAGCACTGTGCTTCCTTAGCTCCCTCTTCAGCTGGTAGTTTAATTGGTTAGAGTCTCTTGTCATCTATAGATCATAGATCCTTCTAGCTCTGGACAACCCTGGTGACTGCAGAGGTAGATTGGGAGAGCTGACATGAAAACATCATCCCTGGGATATGCCCAGGCCACACACCACAAACAAAGGAATTATCTTATTTCTCCATGAGAGGACAAGATATCCATCAAAAGTATTCTTAATAAATCATCATTTGAAAGAAAAATAAGTTAATAAATTTATTAATAAATTAAATAAAAAATAAATTAATAAATAAATTAATAAATCTCATTTGAAAAAAAAATAAAAGGTCATCCAGTTGGTGATTTAATTGCTATCCTTGATATGTTCTTCTGAAGTGTTTTTGGGAACAGAAAAAAATTAATGAGTAGTGTTAATAGATTATGCTATGTTAAGTATGAAGAATCTTAACTAGTCATGAGAAAGGATGTCATTTTGTGAAAGTTCATACATTAACAAGGATTTCAGAGTAAGAATTTCATTTTCCATCACTAGAAATATTGAGAAATAGGGGCGCCTGGGTGGCTCAGCGGGTTAAAGCCTCTGCCTTCAGCTCAGGTCATGATCCCAGGGTCCTGGGATGAAGCCCCGCATCGGGCTCTCTTCTCAGCAGGGAGCCTGCTTCCTCCTCTCCCTCTCTGCCTGCCTCTCTGCCTACTTGTGATCTCTGTCTGTCAATAAAAATAAAAAAAATCTTAAAAAAAATATTGAGAAATAGTTGAGTAAGGGATTTAAATGTCATAGCTTGGGAACTATATCGGGCCTGGAGTATACAGTCAACAAATATTTGTTGAATAAATCTAGAAGGGGGGAAGTAAACAGATGTAATCAATTATGACAGCAAGTCACAACTACTGATCTTGTTAAGGACTAATTTCCACACAAAAGTTTTGGCCCTGTCCCTAGGATTCTCATTGAGAAAGACACCAAGGACTTCCCCTCAAGCACTGAGTTTTGCACAATGAAGAGAAGAGGCCATTCCAAAGAATTTTTTGAGAAACAATAGTGGTAAGTTTTGAACATAAGAAAGATCAAGAAGAAGCTCAAGTAGAGCAGATAGCTGTATTCTCACATGGTGGTCTTGACAGTGAGTCTTGTCTCCATCAGTTTTAGTCAGAGAGAAAGGAGTTTGTGACCACACACTGACTTGTGTTATGCCAGAAGGGTGAATCTTGGCAAACTCTGGGCATTTTGTTTTTAGCTCTGATTTCTACTAAAACCACATATCAATTTGACCCAAGTGCCATAGGTCATAACCCCATGGTTGTGGCATTCTTCCCTTATGTGGACTGATTCTAGCATGTAATTAGTGGCTGTCTTATGAGTCGTAACTGGACATATTTCATAGCCTTCACCATTTTACACAAATCAATGTTAGAAAGTATAAATAAGCTAACCTGACCAAAGACAACACCTTTCTGCTTGCAACTGTGTTTTTAAATTATTTATTCAAGATGATGATGGGTTTGCATCATTATACAGGTTCACTTTCTAACCTCTTCTTTCCTTATGATAAGCAGTTAGTTGGCTTAGCTTAATGGTATTTTCTGTGATGATAACATGTAAATGATACGTGTCATACTTGTTCTCATTATCTGCTCCTCCTGAGGATAATGTTTGACCCAACCAAAAACTTGGGCCAACAGAAGCAGTTGAACCTTGTCTCTACCAAAGATTCCAGGTAATAATTAAGTAGCCCAGTGAAATACGTAGCTCCCAATTCTCAGTGGCTGAGGTAGAACCTGGAGAATAACTGTCATAGTTAATTCCATAATTCAATTTTAGTTTCAAGGGCTATCTTTTTAATCCACTGGATCAAGAGCTAGCCAGTGTTATGGCTCCCTGTGGTTCTCCTGCCCTTTGGATGAAGCATCTATGAACGACAAACAGAAAGATCTGGAATGGAGTACTGGTAAAGCAGAAAACTTGCTTTTGAGAATTATTCAAACCTTGAATAAACCAATGTTGATTTTTCATTTGAAGCACCTACAGCAGAAATACTCCACATCTTTCTTTGAAAGTGTGTCATTTTTAGGGGCTGCTGCATTCCACTTCTGCCCTTCAGCAGGGATCATGCATTCAGAGCCCAGACTGACAAAACATGGGACTGGCTGAGGTGGCTGAGGGAGGGCTGTGGCAAACTGCAGAAATCACTTGCCAAAGAGGCAGCCTGGCTTCCCCTACTGCCAGTGGCTGTCATGCCACAACTGGGAAGGCTGTAGCCAGATTTTCTACTCAACAAGAGAAACTAGAAATCTTAAGTTGTGTTTTTAGATTGATTGGTTTATTTAAGAAAGAGAGAGAGCCTGTGAGCAGGAGGGCAGAGGGAGAGAGAGAATCCTCAAGCAGACCTCCCTGCTCAACAGGGAGCTCCACCTGTGGCTTGATTCCACAACCCTGAAATCATAACCTGAGCTGAAATCAAGAGTCAGCGCTCAACTGACTGAGCTGCCCAGTTACCCTGTAGAAATCTTAAACTTTTGATTACATCAATTGATTGTGAAATGCTGGCAAATAACTCAAAAACATTTTGAAGGCTCTCTGGGCCAAATAAAACACGAGTACAGAAGATTCAGTGACAGGGCCACAAGCTTGCTAACTCTACTTTTAACATGTCCTTGAATCTTTTTTTCACACCATATGATTTAATTCAAAATGCATCATAGACCTAAATGCAAGCGTTAAAACCAAAAACTCTTAAAGGAAAACAGGAGTAAACCCTCATGACATTGGGTCAGGAAATAATTTCTTAAATATAACACCAAAAATGTCCTTGAATTTTTGCTGACACCCATGTTTCACATTCCTTATTTTTTAGAATTTTTAGAATTGCTATAATGTTGCTATTTAGGGTAAAGAAAACAAAACCTATTGTTACGATGGTAGCCTCAGCATTTTCAATGAGTACAAATGATTTATGTTTAAACATTATTAGCTAATAATGGAATTCAATGAGTTCAAAACAGATCAAATTACTACTTTTTCAGGAAAAGCAAGCTATTCTGTTTTAATTCCATCCAGCATAGAATCAGTCTTAGAAACATTTTGGATTCAGTAAAGTCAGAAACCCTATCTCTAAGCATTTCCCCTTTAATTTTAAAACCTGTGTACTTCTAAAGGAAATGCAATATATCCATTCTGGTTCATTTACATTAAATCATTAAAATGTTGCTTATATCCCTTTTGATGTCTAAGATGCTTTTGGAAGTCATTCAAAAAATGTTCTAATCCTTTTCTCCCTATAGTCACATTTTTTTACCAAAATAAACAAGTTCAAACACCAGACGATTCAACTTCTAGGCTAGAACCCAAAAGAAAAATGAATGACTTTTTTTCCTAATTAGCACCATCTCCATTTATTCCATCCCCTAGAAACAATGAAATAAACTCCTCAAGCAAAGAATTCCCATTTCACAATTGCAAGATACAGAATCTAACAGTTTTAAGTATGACTGAGCTGAAGTCAAACCCTTAGATTCTTAAAATAACATGAACTTGATCATGCAGCTCAAAGCTACTGCTTGCTATTCATCTGAATACACACATAACAAGGGCTGAAAAGATACGCCATATGGGAAAGGGATATATATTTATGAAATGATTCTTTATGCAGAGAGGACATACATCGCTTTATATTCACATTCAAGCAGACAGAATATATCTTCTGTGAGAAATGGAACTATCCCCACATTATCAAGAGCTGTCACTTTAAATATAATTTTGATTAATATCATTTTCAGATTGAATACTGACTTGGTTCCTTTCCTTCCAACAGGAAATGCAAATCTATAGGGATAGAGGCAGAGAACATATGTAACCTCTGGGGAATGGACAATGATGAAATGACCCAAAACATGATTATTCCTTGCTACTTCCTGAAATCTGTTCCTCAAATCCCCAAACTAACAGTTCTCTGAATTTATGGTTCACAAAAGTGTTCAAGGGTTTTCAGACTACTCACCCAGTTCCACAAAAAGTGCAGAAGGGAGGGAATTCAAAGATGTGCACAAATGGGTCAGCCAAGGTTCATTCCTTGAGATCTTCCAGATATTTATTAGGGTTCATAGGAGGGGTTGTTCATTTCTGTAGACACAGGATGGATTTTCTGAAACATAAAGTGCAGGTACTTTTAAGTCTGTGGCTAGACTGAGATAAGCTTGTCTGCTGATGACGGGATTGTTCAAATGTAGCATGTCCAGTTTACTCAGGGGCCACCAAGCAAAGCAGGAGGGGAAGTGGGAGGTATGCCAGGAAGTTTTAAAATATAAGGGACTTTCCCAGGCTGGAGAGGCAACAATCAGGTGAACCCACAGTCTCTGTAGCACAGCTGAGCTGATCAATGTGAGGCTGAGCGTTAACCTTAGAGAGGGGTAGCTCTGAGCCCAGCAGCCAGTTCTGCAGGGTGGGCAGAAGTCCACTCTCAGGAATCTTGTGAAATAAACATGTGCAATTTCATACAACCATATTGGCTTCCTTTAGCTTTAATGGGGCCCAGTCTCCTTTTTAAGGCTCAGTCACAAAATTAGCAAATATTTACACGCTATTATCCGTGCAAAACATTATACTGAGCACCAGGGCATCCTGACTAGTGTTTTCTTTCTTCTCTTTCCGCTGCTTGTCCTGGTGCATATGTGTCTCTCCACACGTAACCCCATACCTCCCCCACCAATAAAGCAAATATGTGTCCTCTTCTTTTCCAGATTCTCTTGTTGGTGGCCCTTCCCCCAAGGCAATCAGAAGTATACACATTTCTTGGAGAAGAATTAAAATCATTACAAGGAAAGAAAAGAGAGAAATATTTGATGTTTATCTTTTAAACTTCCCAAATACGGTCTTTTTCTCTTCTTATTAAGTTGAGGTATAACATGCCTACAATAAATGCGCTCATCTCAAGTACATGAATGAATTCTTACAAATGTATATATACAAGTAACCACCACCACATCAAGCCATAAACATTCTCACAAACTCCAGAAGCCTCTTTGGGTCCCTTCCCAGACAATGACCACTCTCTCTCAAGAGGTAACTTCTGTACTAATTTCTATTACCATGACTTGTTTGCCTGTTCCTGAACTTCATATAAATATAGTCTTTTTGTTGGTTTCTTTCACTCAGCATAATGTCTCTAAGATTTTTCTATGTGCTTCACATTTATATACACAAAATCAATTTCTTGTTCATTTACATTAAATCATTAAAATGTTCTACATAATGATTTGATGTCTTGTGATTTTATATATATATATATATATACATACATGTATATATACATATATAATTTATTTATTCATTCTATTATTGATGATATTTAAGTGATTTCTAGTTTCTGATTGTTATGAGCAAAGCTTCTGTGCACATTCTTGTGAAAATTTTTGAGGGATGTAAACACATTTCTTTGGGGCATATATCTAGGAAAACAATGTATACTTAGATTGCCAAGTAGTTTCCAAAGCGATTATACCATTTTATACTCCCAGCAGGAATGTATAAGTTCTGCATGGTGGGGAGTGCTCACACATTTACCAACAGGTGGTTTTGTCCATCTTTTAAAAATTTTAGTATTCCAGAAGTTGTACAATGATATTTCATTGTGATTTCAATTTGTATTATCCTGATGACTAAAAGTATTGAACACTTTCCATGTAGTTACTGGCCCTTTTTATATTCTCTTTTATGTATTGCCTGCTCAAGTTGCTATATGTATTTTTAAATTCAGTTATTTTCTTTTCATTGTTGATTCACAGGAATTCCTTATATATTATGGATGCCAACCTTTTGTCAGACATATACATTGCGCAAATCTTCTTCTAGCCTGTGGCTTACATTTTCACCCTCCTACTGGTGCCTTTTAAAGGACATAAGTTCTTAACTTTAATTAAGTTCAATTTTTTAGCTTTTTCTTTTGTAATTAGTCCTTTTTGTGTCCTGATTTTTAAAAACTGTTGCCTGTGCCAAGGTCATGAAGAGGCTCTCCTATGTTTTCTTTTAGAATATTTATTAATCTATTTCACACTTAAGATTATTGTTCATCCTGAATTAGTATTTTAGTGTGAGGCAGGGGGTCAAGGTTAATTTTTTCATATAGATATCTAATTGTTCCAGTACAACTTTTGGTAAAGTTCAGGTCATTCCTCATTGAATTGTGACTCTGTCATAAATCAAGTGACTATATATGTGTGTCTGTTTCTGGAAATAATTTTAAAGAACAATATTTGATGTGCAGTTTCTGACTTCCAAAGTAAGCTCTTGCAGCCCATATCAGAAATAACAGTTTTGAAAGCCAACATTTTTTATTTGTTAGAGTCAGGTTTGGTCCAAAGAGGAAAAGCTCTTGAGAAGTTAAAGGAAATTGGGCATTGTGTTAGCTTGAAATTGGAAAAAAAAGAGAGGGACCCTGGCTAATGGCCGCTATCCCCTACATGCTTCCATTAGACTGGGATGGGAGGAAGTCAGAGTGGTATGAGACACAGGCACCTAAGATGAGGGGAATGGTCCAAAGCACCTTGTAAGGAGGAAAGAGTCAATCTGAAAAGAGATCAGCATGAATTGCATGAGGATCACGGGCTTGTTTCCTGATGGCCATTCCAGAGACTATGACCATGTGAGCAATACAGTATGAGAGCTTCCCTCTGACTGCTACTTGCAAATCACCCACATATGTATCATCTACTACAAGCAAAAACATCCCAAATGCCAAGATCTTCTGAGACTCAGATGGACATCCTCTTTCAAGTGGGCTACACTGTCTAAAAGCAGTATCTCACATAGTATCTGTAGGTCCCCTAAACAGTATCTGTATGTCATTAAGATAGTGACAAAGGAAGAACATTCAGCTCTTTTACTTTGGTGGGACTAAACAATGGTGACACCTATCTCCATTAAACAATATTTAGTCTCCTAGACCTGAGGAAGAGAATTAGCCCCATCATTAGGCATTTTATAGCTGAATGGGAGGAGTATCATATTGTATTTATTGAGACTTAGCAATGTCCTTGCCCTCTAAACTTATTCTCTGTATCACAGAGTTAGAAGTCTAGAAACTACACTTCCCAGACTCCTTTGCCAGCACAGTTCTGGTTCAGATACAGTCAATGAAAGACACTGCTATGAGGTTTCAATGGCAGAAGAGAATTAGTCATTACTCTCCCTCTGCAAGCTGTAGGTAAACTTGTGGAAAGACAGGAGTAAGGTTTGCAGTGGCTTCCAGGTGAATTCCTATTGTTTGCCTGTTGTAGAACTGCTAGAAACACTCCATGATTTCCGGAAAGTAGCAGAGGGTCTCTGTGACTTTCACCCCCTTACCCCTTATAATAGTTCTATAGGTATGTAGTTCCTTGCATTAAGTCCCTTCTTGCTAAAATATTTAGAATGATTTTCTGATTTTCCGACCAAACCCTGACTGATCTAGGAGATCACCTTCTTAAGAAACTTTCTTGAAATAGGAAGTTGATTCAATCTATTATTCAACTTTATAATAATTAAATGTTATACATATGAGGAGTATAACTCTTGAATAAATGATCATAAATCAGTTTGCCTGCTTGAATCTTTCCATTGGTGGCCATTTCTATATTTCATTCAATTTCATTTCACCTGTTCCAATACCAACTCACAACTCAACAAACACTGACTGAACTGATCGATAAAAATTGAGACAGTCTGATAGAGCAGAAAAGTATGAAATTTAGAATCAAAAGGTCTTAAATTTAAGTTTTGATTCTGTACTTACAAACTCTGTGATCTTAGACAAGTTATTAAGATTCTCTGAGCTTCCTCTGTTAGGTCTAACAAAAACTTTTGCTTTTGTCTATTTCACAGGATTTAGTGAAATAGTGAAGGCACTCCCTTAAAATTGTAAAGTGTTTAAAAAATATTAACTACTGTTAATAAACACCTGTCTTAGAAATGACAGAATGTTAATTGTGGTATGGATCGCTGCTGTGATATGTTTTTAATAATACCTTTTTAGTGATAAGAATTCTAACAGGTAGCATTTATTTTAGGTCATGCACTATTCTAAGTTCTTTACAGAAATCAATTCATTTAATTCCCATAATAATCCTATGAGATAAGTACTCTTATTATTCCCTTTTACTAAACAAGAAAATTGAGGCACAGAGAGGTTAAGTAATTTGCCCAATTTTACACAGCTTGTAAAATAGTGGAGATAGGATTTGAAACCAGATAGCCCAGCTACAGTGTTTTCAGCCACTAAGAAATTTGGAAGTTGGAAGAATAATATAAATATAAAAAGAAAAGTAAGGAAGTTCAGCTGCCTCCTAATATGCTCCATTCAACAAGAAAACAGAGACGGTCAGTGTCAGCTATCAGTCCACATTCCTCCTCTTGACATTGGTGTGGAAAGAGACCATGGGAAAGGGCTGTGAGCAGCAGCAGCTGTGGCTTTCCACTTGGGGGTAAATGGGTAGGAAAAGCAAAGCATGGCCAGAGGAAGACCAGAAAGCACAGAATGTGCTCGAACTTCAACAGAATGTTCAGGGCCAGCGAGATAGAGTACCAGGCCGAAGCTGGGCTAGAAGCAAAATCCCAAGACGGACATTGCAGCAGCTGTGCATGATGATGTCATCTGCATTCTCAGGGCCCATCTGCAAGTGCCCACACTGAGTAGAGACACTGCTTCACATCCAGGAGAAGGGCTACACCCACATCCTGTTCCCCTGGGATGCTGAGAATGTGGACCAATGGCTTTATACTGGTGACAGCATTCTGAAATGCCATCTGGCACTGGAATCCTTGCCCACTCACCATTAGCCAACAGACATGGCTGCCTCCTTCCTTCACACTTCCTCTTGCAGCCGCCATGTTTATCTGTTTATAGCTCAGCTTTGTTCCTTCCCTCAGAAGGCAATAAGAGAAGTGGAAACACTTCCACTGCAGTGCTAGGGGAAGAAAAACCCAACTTAAAAAAAAAAAAAGCCTCCAGTTTTCTGAAAAATATTTAAAGCCTCCTGGTCCTTTGAAAAGTTTTCATACAGTAACAAAAATTACAAAATAGAATGACTGAAGTGGGCAAATCTGGAAACAGACCTAGTTTGGGAACAAAGAATGAATGAATCTAGTTTTAGACCTTGAATTTCTGATGAAGGAGGAAAGGACCGCTAGGTGTGGCT